CGTATTCTATTGTAACTTGTTACTGTCAAGAAAAAAAAAAGGAGCACCAATAATTCCATGAGAAATTATTTGTAAAACGGCTCCATTGGATGCCGTATCCATCATGGAACCAATTCCTACAATTGTAGAACCCATATGAGATATGGAGGAATAGGCTATTCCCTTTTTAAATTGTAGGACAAGAGAAGTTGAAGCTTGTTTTATTTTTTTTTATTTTTTTTTTATTGACAACTTGATCATTAAGATATAACAATAATTATCTCTAAAAAAATGAATACTTTTGTCAAATTTATAAAGACATGATTGAAATTTTCACTAAAAGGCATAGGCATTTGTACTAATAAAATTTCTTGATACTTTTAAAGTGGCCTGGAACCTGATGGAGCCACATGTAAGATTAACTTTCTTTACCAAAAAATTTCATGATACTTTTAAAGTGGCCTGGAACCTGATGGAGCCACATGTAAGATTAACTTTCTTTACCAAAAGGCAATGATTTTTAGGTAAAACCAAAAGATAATTTACTTCCTAACTAACCATCTACTCCCTTGCATAGAATCCCACCTAAGGTTAATTTTTAAACCCCAAATTTAGGGATGTAAACTGTGGTCAATAAATAAATAAAAATCCTAATTGCACCCTTAGAGAACTAGAAAAATTAATATCTCATTGAATAAAACCATCCAATTTTTAGAGTAATCTCTACTCACATTTTTCTTTTTTTAAAATAATCATCTAGTCTTTAGGTAGTTGCCCACATTTCAGATTGAAAAAAATCCTCTCTAGTAGATTATCTGATGAAGGGAGTAGAAGCAAACTATGCTCCCGAAGGAGCATAGTATACATGCTCTTTGGTAAATAAACCCTTCACAACAAAAAAACTCAACTTATTTGTCTACAAATAGGATAGAATATACTTATTTGTCTACAAGTATGATAAAATACACCTACAAGTAACATGATTGAAAAGGCATATTATTTTGAAATAACACAAACATTTTTTTCAAATTAAAATACAACCAAGAACCATACTCAGAACTTCTCAAACGTTGGACAGACTTTGGGCATTCAAGTCTCTTTCTACTTGGTTTTCTGTTGTCCACCCTTGGAGTGTTTATTCTATGAGAATTAGAACGGAACTCAAAAAAGAAGAAAGAACGATTCACCATTCTACCATGCATGCCTGAAGTCAGCATAAGCTGATTTTGCACCATTTCAGACATATAACACCCCTTCACCTCTACTAATAGGATCAAGAAGTTGACATGTAATTCCCTTTTATTGCATCATTATCCAAGGCAAATGAAGACTTGTCCACTAAAGAGAGAGAGAGAGAGAGAGAGAGAGAGAGAGAGAGAGAGAGAGAGAGAGAGAGAGAGAGAGAGAG